TTGAGCTCACCTGGTCCGAAGGACCATGGTGAGCTTATGCCACACTGCATCGTCTGTTGTCCGTCCGTTGTTCGTCGTCCGTCCGTCAACTTTTCATTTAAAAATGCTACTTGTCCTGAACGTCCCAGTAGATTTTGACTGAATTTTGTCTGAAGCATCCTTAGGCCAAGGGAACTCTATTTTGTATAAACTGTGGGTGTTGCCCCCATGGGGGCTGAAGGGCGGGGCCAAAAAGGGAAATAGAGGAAAAACCATTAAAATCCTTCTTCTACCGTAGGGATTAAGGCATTTCACCCCAATTTAATATGGAGCACAGGGACTCAGTTTTGTATAAACAGTGAGCATGGCATATTTGGTCTGAAGCATTCTTGGGTGAAGGGAAACCAATTTTGTATAACCGGTGGGTCTGGCCGGGCGCAATAGGGGAAACATAGCAATTCTTCAAAATCCTTCTTCTTCTGTAGGAATGACAGGATTTAGTCCAAATTTGGTATAAAGCACCCCCTGTATGGAGGCGCCCTTTGGGCAGAGAGGCGGCCTATTAAGGGATATAGAGGAATAGCTTTAATGTCCTTCTACTTCTGTTGGAATGAAGGTATTTTGACCAAATTTGAACGGTAGCATCCTATTTGGAAGGGAAATCAATTTTGTATAAATGTTGGGTCTGACCCCCCTTGGGCCTGATGGGTGGGGCCGTATAGGGGTTATTTAGCAAATTCTTCAAAATCCTGCTTTTCCTGTAGGAATGACAGGATTTTGTCCAATTGCATATAAATATAACCCCTGACTAACCATGTAATACATGTACAGCAACATATGGCTATTTCAACTTCAATTTTGTTAACATTTCAAGGTGAGCGTTACAGGCCCTCTGGGCCTCTTGTTTAAATATTTTAACAGGTTCTTTTGAATGACTTATAGTCATAAATACCGATATTTTGCCAGTAGATTTATTTTAGATCTCTTTTAAGGTTACAAGTGTGAGATTTATATCAGGTGAGTGATGTAGGCCCATTGGGCCTCTTGTTGGAAACTATGCGGTGAATTTTAACGAATGTTTATTGGCATAAGGCGGTGTGCAAGAGACTTCCGATTTTCTGATCGGTGAAAAAACATGGCCACAGCTTCCTCAATTATGATTTCCTGAAATTTCTCCAAAACTTTGTCCAGATTTCAATGCTCAATAACTTTTGATCTACTGGACGGATTTGAAAAACACTGTCTCATATAGGTATTACGACAATGTCATCGTCTGCGTCCATATTGGTTGCGTCGTCCAAAACAAGGTTTCCATGCTATAACTCGACATCCCTAGGGTTGATCGAAGTTACCGTTAATACAAATAGATCCCGTCTTCATAATTTCATTAGAGTTGCCTGCGCAGGCGACAAATCCACTCCTGTGGAATTCTTGTTTATCTGTAACATGCTCGGTTGATTGGCTATCAACTTTGGAAAAATGATTGACCTTGATCATCTTTCAAGATCACAAGTGTCAAAAATGTCAAAATATTAAAACAACTTTCTCTAAGTAAGGTCCATAATATTTGGCAAGGAATGAAAGGCTATAATGTGGATTAATTGAATGACCTTCTTTTACGTATGCTCATTGAATATGAATCCATTTTCAGTTTTCACAGCTTAAGTGCCTTGATTTATAAAAAATGAAAAATAAAGCATACTTTCTGTACTGTGGTTTATAATATCCTTTTCATCATACCTGAAAAGACTGAGGTTAGGAAAATGATTGGGATCAAAGACCAAATCAGTCCTAATGGTGAAAAGTCCATCTACACTTACATTATTTGCAATTATACAGTTGCATTATCTTGCTTCAATTATTAGCTCACCTGGTCCGAAGGACCAAGGTGAGCTTATGCCATACCGTTGCGTCTGTCGTTCGTCATCCATCCGTCCGTCCGTCCGTCAACAATTTCTTTAAACGACTTCTTCTTCTTAACCACTGATTGGAATTCAACTAAATTTGACTGGAAGCATTCCTAGGTGATGGGGATTCAAAATTGTACAAAAGGTGGGGCTGACCCCCAGGGGGCTGAGGGGCAGGGCCAAAAGGGGTCAATTTGCCTATATTGCTTTAAGCGACTTCTACTCTGGAACTAAGAAGTGGATATCAACCATATTTGACTGGAAGCATCCCTAGGTGGTGGGGATTAAAATTGTACAAATGATGGGTCTGACCCCCCAGGGGGCTGAGGCGGGGGGGCAAAAAGGGGACAATTTGGCTATACTGCTTTCAGAGACCTCTCTGGAACTGAGAGATGGATATCAACCATATTTGACTGGAAGCATCCCTAGGTGGGGGAGATTCAAAATTGTACAAATGGTGGGGCTGACCCCCCGGGCTAAGGGGTTGGGCCAAAAAAAGTGTATAACTTGGAAATGGTTGAGATCCCCACCATATAACCATGGTATACAATTGCTGAGTATAAAGAGAAGAATGCACATTTGCTTCCAGGATGGCTATAGGGTCTGGCCCCACCCTTGGAGACATAGTCCCTGGGCCATAACTTTAAAACTGTTGAGATCCCCACCCCAAAACTATATATACAAATGCTGGGCATAAAAAGAC